GATACTGCGTGTGCCCTTCCCTAAAGAAATGCGGATTTTCGTCACTCAAATACCTGCAGTTGCGTTTGTTCACTGAACCGTTTAAATCAAACGTGCATTCGTCGCTAAAACAAATATTTTTTAGCAACTGGGGAGTAACACGTAACATTTCGGTCATGTCCTCGCAAAATTGCATTCTTCGATCGGGGCCATCCTCCTACAACTCCTGAAGAATTTGCATTTTGTACGGGTAAAACTTATGAAGTTTGAGTACCCGACGAACAGCTTCATGAGAAATTCCCGTTATCGCCGAAGCGGATTCATAGCAAAATGTCCTAAAACTTCCACTTGTGCTGCTTCATTAAGTACTCTTTGATGGACACTTTTTTTGTTTGCCACTGATCCTGTTTCTTCAAATTTAATAATCAGTTGTCTGATGAAAGTATGACTTACATTTTTTCCGGAGTTTATTTCGTTAAATATTGCAGCAGTTCTTAAGGCACAACGATTTTCTGAACCATAAATAAACACCATCTGAATTCTTTCAGCCAAACTGTAGACCATGATGAACAGAAAATAAAAATTATACTCGTATTTCTTCAACTAGAAATGCTGACTTTGCAGTACAACCTTGTACAAACGACTAAATTTTAAAAAAAACCAAAAAAGGTTGACAGCTGTGTGCACGTAGTTTAGATTCAAAAGGAAAAACTTGTATTTCGTGCAAAACTTTTTTATTAATCAATGCAATGCGCTTTCGGCTTATTTGCCATCATCAGTGCTCATCTACAAAAATTGTGGATGTAAACTTACAATTTAAAAAGATTTAAAAAAATATATTATAAAATCTGAATTAGACTTTTAAGTCAAAAGTTAAAATAGTATATATACAATTGTTTGAACAAATTAAAAATTACAAGAAACAAACAAAGTGACAAAAAACTGGTATTGGGAATAGTGAGTGTGGGATAAGCCCTTACAAATCAAATCTGATCTCCAGAAGCAAGTTAGCTTGTGTGGAATTAAGGAATCATGCCACCCTCACTATTCACAAAATTGAAAAAAGGTTAACAAATTAGTTAAAATTTAAAGAAATTTACAATTAGAGGGTGACTGTGGAAGATATATTGAAATTTGAATCTAGAATACAATATTTGATATGAAGAAAGTAAAACGCAGAAGGCCAAAGTAAAAAAACTGAAGGTTTTTTTTATATGTTTTATATACATTATAATTATGAAAAAGTCTACCTACTGTCCACAACGTATCTAACAAGTTCCTGGTCATCCTCACTCGCAAAATTATATATTTCGGGATATTTACAACTTGCTAAATCATAATTTTATTAATATTAATATTTTCAAATTTAAATTTCTCTCTTCATTTTGGTTCAAGTTGTTTAACCGTTTCCACATGACAGTGGTGACAAGCGACACTTGAAGACTTTGACTTGTCAAATGTCAACAGAAGGAGGTGCGTTCACCTCAGTGTGGAACATGTTTCTCCGAGTGTGATTCGAGTGATTGGAGGTTAACGGAGATCAAAATTTGTTATTGAATTTAAAGATTTAATTTATTGTTAGTTAAATTTAAATAAATGTTTAATATAAATGATATTATTATTTTGATGTCAAGACAAAACAAAAATGTCACTCGCGTGATTCTGATGTGCCAGCCCGGGCTCTGCAGAACATTCTTTCAGAGAACCCAAGATGGCACAACTGAACCCGCGGTCCCTAAAGGTGAATCTGATGTTTAGTCCTAAAAATTACTAAATCACTCAACAAGCGTACTCATGGTTAAAAGAGACAAAATAGAGAACAAAAAAGTTTTAAACAAAGGAGTACCATGGTCCCAAAGGTAGGCTCTGATGGGTGAAATCGAGTTTAGGAGGGGATGGCTCTCGAAGGCTTGTGTTGGGTGACTCGGACCTACATCATCATAGAGGGTTAATTGAGTTGTCTATGGAGTGGTATGAAATTTCTGTTAAGGTTCACTTGAGTGTTGAGACAGAGTATATTATTGTCTCTTTCGAGAGTAATTTCAACATCTTCATGAAAATCTAATAAATTGAATTTTTTTGTGTTTAAGTTAACTAATAATTTGGAGTTTTTTGTTGGGCTGAAATTATGTTGATTGAACCTTAAGTGATCCTATCCTATCCGGACACCCAGAGATCTACAAGTTCTGCCGATATAACTGGCATCGCAATCGCTGCATTGCAACCTGTATACTCTACTCTTATCTAACAAATTCGTTTTGTCTTTTGTGTTGACTAGATGGGAGTCTAGTTTATTAATTGATTTAAAAGATACTTTGATGTTATCTACGTTGTTAGCAAAAATTTTTGAAATGCTCTTAGCACCTCCTTCTGTTGACATTTGACAAGTCAAAGTCTTCAAGTGTCGCTTGTCACCACTGTCATGTGGAAACGGTTAAACAACTTGAACCAAAATGAAGAGAGAAATTTAAATTTGAAAATATTAATATTAATAAAATTATGATTTAGCAAGTTGTAAATATCCCGAAATATATAATTTTGGGAGTGAGGATGACCAGGAACTTGTTGGATACGTTGTGGACAGTAGGTAGACTTTTTCATAATTATAATGTATATAAAACATATAAAAAAAACCTTCAGTTTTTTTACTTTGGCCTTCTGCGTTTTACTTTCTTCATATCAAATATTGTATTCTAGATTCAAATTTCAATATATCTTCCACAGTCACCCTCTAATTGTAAATTTCTTTAAATTTTAACTAATTTGTTAACCTTTTTTCAATTTTGTGAATAGTGAGGGTCACTATTCCCAATACCAGTTTTTTGTCACTTTGTTTGTTTCTTGTAATTTTTAATTTGTTCAAACAATTGTATATATACTATTTTAACTTTTGACTTAAAAGTCTAATTCAGATTTTATAATATATTTTTTAAAATCTTTTTAAATTGTAAGTTTACATCCACAATTTTTGTAGATGAGCACTGATGATGGCAAATAAGCCGAAAGCGCTTTGCATTGATTAATAAAAAAGTTTTGCACGAAATACAAGTTTTTCCTTTTGAGACTAAATTTTATACAAACATTGATAGGTAGGTACCTACCCGATAAATTCAATGCTATTTTTTATTCTCAGATAAGTGCTCCAAAATTTTAGAATGGAATTTGACGTTTTTTTTTTTGTTTACAAAAAAATGGAATGCATGTTGACCATCTAATGAAATAAAATATCTTAATAACAATAACGGAATTTGAAAATCGATTGTACTATCGCTTAGAAATAAATGAAATGCATTTTGAATTATCTGATCAAATAAAGTACCATTTTAACAAAATACAGTTTATTTTATTCGAATTCATGTTTTAGTTACACCCTGTATTGAATGGAAAAAAAATCTTGTACAGGTGAATACTACTAAATGAGAACTTTCATTTGGAGGTATAACAAAAGGGGTAGTGCCATTTGACATTTTAAAGTTGGGGTGTGTCGCGCCTAAGGGGTGGCTCACCCCTTCACTGAAATATGGTGGTTCTAGGTCCCCCTAACTCTATAACATTTGTGGCAAACGGCGTTTCTCCAACTTCTTTATTTTGCGAGATATTCGCATTGAAAGTTTTCAAATTGACACCTTGTATAGTCAACCCAACAGTTGTAAGGCAAGGATAAGAGAGATAGAAAATAAGTTATATAGAAAATTCCACACCTGTAATTTTGAACCAATCAAAATACGTGTTTTTGACAGATCACCATGGCAACGGAGGTATTTTAGTGGAAATTTTTTTCACGTGGGGTACCCAACAGCGAATTATACTGGAAATTTTTTGACGTTTACAATAACAGACCATTTTTGACAGACTGGTTTTTATTTGTTCACATAATAGGTTTAGTTTTGATACATTTTAGTTACAATGCTAAGGTGTTTTCTATATTCTTCGGCCACTTCTTTTCTTCTTAATGGCGAAAATGCAGGACTTTGGATGCTTTGAATTATGTGTCTATGTCTAATAAAATATATATAATATTTAGACACTAACTTATTCACCTTTTTCCCATTCAGCACTTTGAATTTTGCGTAGTTTAGGTGCAAATATTCGTGGACAATTCGGAACAAATTTTCGTTTTTCAAGTTGGAGCCACAATCCTCTATTAATCCGAGTAAGTAAGTCATGGTGCAATGATTGATCATTACATCAGACAATTTCACGCATATTTTGCATAGCGTATGATTTTCAAATCGATTCATTTTTAAAAAAATAGGTAATTTTGTTGGTTTTACTTGCTGTGCAATATTCTTTATCGCAACAAAACGCGAGTTATTTAATGTTTTGAACTGTCAAAATACAATGATCACAGCCTCCTACGATTGATGCTTGCTGACGCTGGTTATGAATTTCATACCATTTTAAAGCGCTCATAACGCATGTTAATAAAAACGCAGAAAAACAATTTTCTACCACTTGTAGTTATTCAAAACTTACGTAAAATTAAAGAATATACTATTTTCTATTTTCAAATGGTATTCCCATGCAACTACAATGAGTAGAAATAAGCAATTTGAAGGCCTAAATAATTGCAGCGAAACATTTTTTTACGTCGGGCCGCTTGACAACTTCAAAACTGAAATTATATTCGAGGTTAGGGTCTCACTTAGTTACCATGACAACTCAACAATCAAGGTGACAACACCTTTTATGTTTCACTGGTGACTTGGAGAAAATAATTTGCATTGTTGAGAAACGAAAAATAAATTTTAAAAATATTTAATTTTCAACCATAATTCGGCGTGGAATTTTCTTACCGAATACCACGCGAGGTCAAATTAATATCAGGAAATTTTTTGACCTCTAGTGGTATTACTAGTGAATATTACTAGATTCAAAACTCCCGCGCTTTTTTTGCGCATAAGTAATTCAAAATAGTTGAATAACGGGAAAGGTTGATTAAATAGCCATTTTTTCAAAATAATACATTCGAATTTGAATATTATTATGTCTAAGAAGAATTATTTGTTTGGGTTTTTTAGGGACTCTCCTATGACGAAATGACAAAAATAAGAAAAAACAATGTAAACCCTGCGTTAACGACATATTACAAAAAGCCACTTGCTTTACATCAAGGCTACAAACAATGGTTATTCGATATTAATGGAAGAAGGTATTTGGACATGTTTGCTGGAGTTTGTACAGTATCTGTTGGACACGCCCATCCGTAAGTCAACTATGATTAATCAATAATAATTCCTTTTTACGGGAATTAAATATGGATTGAGATCTACAAAGATGTTTCTAAAATAGGTGTAGAAACGTAGAGCTCTAATTTTTTCCAAGACATGATTCATATCTCTTAATTTAGAAATATTTTTTGTTGGATCGTTCTTTAGGTACAAAATAAAAATATAACAAAATTTATGATAGAAGTTTAGTCATTGAATAATCTTATGGCTTAAAATGATTCATTACGAGAATCCTGGATGCACATCGCTCCGGTGGGTCTAATGTTTATGATGATGGGATAACACTGCATATAGCGTTGATTCTAATCCCACTGGAGCGGAATTTATTCAAATTTAATTTTCCAATTTTTCTCTGGTTATTTTTACCACTCTGAGTTCAGAAATTTTGATTTATAATTATGGGTTTAAATCAAAGCTGAACTGAAATAATTGGCACAAAAAGTTACAGCACGTTTAAAAAATTTAAAGGTGGATACATTAGGGGTTATCCATAAATTACGTCACGCCTTAAGAGGGGGGAAGGGGTCGACGAAGTGTGACATTGTGTGACAAGGGGTGGAAGGGGTCTAACATTTCGTGAGGTCACATTTGTAAAAAACTTTGTAAAAATAATACTGACTTAGCATCAGCTCTAAAACTTCGAGATACTGTTGGTCGCCAGAGAGTAAAAGAAAACCAATCCGGTATACTTGAAGTCATAAAGGATATTGCAGTTTTTTGGTGGCGCAGGTGAACGACATCGCACTGAAACTATAAGGTGCTGCAAAACATTGGACTAGTCAATGCAGAGGAAGGAAAGAGACACGTCGTAACTGTTCCTGTTAAACTATGCAAACCATAAAGATGGCACATTCTGTACTGCTACGATAAGAAACCTTGAATCTTTGGCTTCGATTTTAGGCCCTCTTTTTATCAATGGATGATTATCGTGTAAAATTACCGGATCATGAATTCGAAGTCGCGTAAAAACACAAACTTATTCCTTCTGTTTATGCAGGTATTGTAATAAAGAAAGATGGTGAAGGGAAACCTGAAGCTTTGACGCACTCTGGGCCTACATACGTAGCAATTCGTAGTGGAAAACATTCTTCCTCTAATGCAGAGACTCATGTCCAGCCGCGGATCTGGGAATATTTTTCGGGGGTGGGGGGTAGAAAATTTTATCAAAGAATCATTCGTTTATTTAAAAAATAAAAAATACTGTACGCCAGCCTGTGCTTCTCTATTCTTCATTCGTTACCGTCATCTTGTTTTTTGCTTTCTCGTAAAATATCGTTTTTAGATTACAATTTAAAAAATTCCTGGATTTGTTCGAGCAGCTCGGGGAGGGGTAATTAGCCTATTAACCCCCCCTTGTATCCGCGCCTGCTCATGTCACAGACATACATAGACTTTCTGAAACACCTGCTTTTAAAAACGTTATGAGAACTCGAGAAGGTTTTGTAAAACCCGTATTTATTTTTACTTGCGATCCTGATCCCGACAAAAATCCACGATACGAGCGAGTTATAGTTTCAGCTATACAACATTTTTAAAATTTTGACTTTGATGATATTTACATTGCCACAAATGCTCCAGGAAGAAAAATGTTTCAACAGAGTGAAACGACGAATGGCGCCTCTTAGTCGCGAACTTACTGGTGTTCTATTAAACAATGACAATTTTGGTTTACATCTCGATTCCAGTAATCGATCTACTGACTTGGAGTTAGAAAAACGAAACTTTGAGAGTGCAGGCATTGTGCTGTCTAATATTTGGAGCCAATTAGCCATTGATGATTTTCCTGTGGTTGTCAAATACATTGTGCCAACAGATACTAGATTTCATATTAAACAGGCTAAGTTATTTAAAAATGATGAGACTTGGTACGCAAATCATGTGCGTGAATCACAATATTTATTATAAATAGTAAAATGCGTGGTTGTCCCTTGTTGTGGTGTGCGACGATCTAGCCTTTGGCGACTATTACGAGAGGGGTTTTTACCACCACCTGTTTTAGGTAAACAGACGTCAAACGGGTATGTAACCATAGAAAAAGATGACTCCGAAGACAAACTTACTCCACTGTTACTTCAGCTATCTTTGGATCTCCGAGCATCATCACATTTAAAGCTATTGTCCCAGTGTCGAGGCATACTTGTTTAAGCGATCGTGTGGCATCTGTGGTCTATATTTTGCATCATACAAGGCCACTAACCAACACAAGTAATCACGTAATAGGCAACAAGAAGTTTTGCCCATAGCGAAGATTTATCCTCAAAGAATTGCTGCTAGACGTGCCAGAGAAATTATTTATTTGGATAACGATGATACCCTTTGGTTAAATGAAAAAGATGTTGACACAACGAATGGTCCTGGCACTAACAAGCCAAACGTGACCGAAGTGACTGCTATGAAAGTTATAAATAATTTACAGGAGTGGGATCAAAGTCCATAGACTCAAGATAAATAAGTTTGTGTGACTTGACAAACCGGGCCCTAACCTAGTTTTGCAAATACTTATAACCTTGGCCTAAATTTCGTCTAGTAGATCCCCACGAAGTGATGTTAAAACCCCCATAATTACGTTTGGAGTTCAATGTAGCTGTAATGGAGGAAAAAAGAAGTAAACACAGACATTAATTTTGAATACTGTTATTTAACATCAATTCTTTTATACAGCCGAACATTTAGATTATGTGCCGTTTTTAGGCTTAACATTTTTCTTAAGTAGACTTTCTAATGAGTCATTTCTAACCTCAGAGCTTTTATTAGTTCCCATAAAAGGGTAAAATAAAAGTCGGAAGTACTTTGGTATATTTGTTTGACTCCTAATATACAATCACACTTTTCCACGGAAATACTGAATTACGCATTGTCTAATAAAAGAGAGTACAGCGGTAGCACGCAGAGTTCCGCGAGATACAGAATAATATATGCAATTTGTGTAAAAACCGAAGTGAAGATTTACCTCACCATGCGTCACGCCTTTCACTAATATTCCAATGCCGTAATGTACTGATATACTCAGTCCTGTATGGAAAACAGTAAAATGATCGATCGCAGATCACCTGATATAAAGGGGGATGCCCGTCAGGCCCACTTTCGGGATATCTTAAATAGAGATCCATCCTGCCTCTCAGGCTTTAATTTACATAGCTGCAAAGGAAATACCTTTTTAGGCCCTTACTATTGAAGTCCCTAGCGGTCTATAGCGACCTAAGGCTCTTTTTTGGCGCTATGCTCTTTTGCTCTGTTGATAGACAAATCATTGTTATCAATCACAGTTCTGAGGATACGTTAGGTAGTCCACAAACACAATTCCACCTATTTATTCTAAATATGTAACAAATATACCGACTACTTCTGCGTAATATCACGCTAAAGATGTGGATATGTACAAATAATTCCGACCGTCCTCAATATTCATGATTCTACCCGCCGCTGTACATATCCCCTTTTCCCCGAAAAATCGATATACAAAACTAACACTCCTTACGGCTAAAATAACACATTTGTCTTCCCAATTTTGTTTTACAAAGTACGACAGAAAACATATTTTTTAACCGCAATCTAACTTTAAAATATACACAAATCAAGGTATTTACCCTACTAGTCTACATCTGTTTGCCATTTAAAAGTAAAACCGAAAGTGCGTTTCCTCTTTACTTGAAAGGGGCAGGTACTGTTTACAGACAACTAAAACTTTACAATTCGGCCCTTTGTGCCATAAGTCTAAATGACTTAATTTATTACTTGAGAGTATTGACCGACTTTACGACAATTAATATTTATGACATCACTATCGATTCTCTAAATAGTATAATTTAGCACAATAAAAAACCCTATAATTTTTCCCACAATAAACGTTTATCAATGAATTCCAAAAATATGAAAATAACACACAGACGCGAATTTTTCCGCTAACGAATATAAAAGTAATAAAGTGATATCTGTAACCCATCAATGTAGTCTAAACTCTCCCCCGGAGTAGATGAATATTAAATACTAGTTTGATTGCTTTAATAGTGCGATTATCGCGTTAATCCTACGTAAAAGGAACCTTACAGAAAAAAGTATACCGCTGATAAAAGCATTTACCTGGCGCAAGTTCGTCAGGTCTACCTTAAGGGTGACGAAATCCACTACGAACGTCGCCTAGAGTAGTACTTTCAATCAATTAGTTACACTTTATATGTAGTTCCTCAGGGATCTGTCTTGGGTCCACTACTGTGGAATATTCTATATGATGGAATATTACGTATAGAGACAACGCCACACATTAATCTCATTGCCTACGCAGATGACTTAGCAGTCATAGTCACAGATAGAACGGAGGAAGGCCTCATTATTTCGGTTAACACCATTCTGGAATAAATCAGCGAGTGGATAAAATTAAATGATCTTAAACTAGCATCGGAAAAAACAGAGGCGGTGTTACTAATTGGTAGGAAAAAAACTGAGTAGACCAATTACGTTTATAATTGAAGAAGTCCTTATACCAAAAAATAGTAAAATATCTGGGGTAGAAGCTTGTCATATAAGGAACACTTAGAGAATGCAGTGGCTAAAGCCAAGAAGGTTATGGCCTCGTTAATAAGACTAATGCCTAATAAAGGGGGAGCTACGGAAACAAAGAGAAGACTATTAGGAACAGTAGTCCATTCAATCCTAATGTATGCATCAGAGAATTGGGAAAAAAATTTGCATAGAAAAGTTAACCGAAAAAAGTTAGCACAATTACAAAGAACGATGGCGATCAGAATCTGCAGAGGATATAAAACAATATCTATGGAAAGCAGCCTCGTTATCTCCGGAATTATACTCATAGACTTGCTTATTGAAGAAAGATGTGAAGTTCAAGGTAAGAACATAGCTGAAAAGAAAGAAGCTAGAACAAAAACTTTAGAAACGTGGCAGAGAAAATGGGAAAAATGTGAAAAAGGAAGATGGACGTACACACTCATACCTAATATTGAAAAATAGAATAAACGAAAACTAGGAAACGTCACATTTCATATTACTCAATGTCTAACTGGTCACGGCTGGTTTATGGATTATCTAAATAGATTAGGTGTGACTGAGCAACAAGATTGCATGTACTGTCCGAATGTGGATACAGTAGAGCATACCCTGTTTCAATGCGGAGAATGGAGAGAGATCAGGCTAGAGCTAGAAGAACGTATTGGAATTAGGCTCTCTAGAGAAAACATTTTAGACGTCATGACCAGTAACATAGAGCAATGGCAACAGATAGGTAACATGATGAAAAAGATACTGGGACAAAAGGAGAGATATTTTAGAAGAAGAAATATATAAGCATACCCTAACAACTTGTTAAGAAGTACCTGTGACCATCCCTACATCACGTCTCTTCGAAGTTATGCCGACTGGTGATTCCGAGGAGACTTTCGGTAGAAATCCGGCACTATTAGACGTCTCAGGCGTCTAATGTCTTCTGAAGATTTTGTTACCACTCTTAATAAAAAAAAACACTTTATTACTTTAAATCAGAGATATAAAATAGTTGGCGGTTACCTATACTAGCGAGATCTCACCGGTATTGGCTGCGCCAATATTTTAGTCACTCGGTAGATACAACCTTACAAAATATTCTAGAAGCGAAATCTGGTCCTATTTACCGTCTATCTGCTTGGTCAATCTGACTATATATCTCCTTTTACTTATGTAAAATATAAGCAAAAGGTGGTCATCCTAAGGACAACTGGATATCTACGCAGAAGTCGTTGTATATAGAAACTAATTTCTTTACTCCGTCGATATCTTTTATTTCCGTTCTCAAAATATAACAGAAGCGGCCACCGTAATGGTAGGCGATATCCCTTTTTAATTATATTTGAAGAATATAAAGAAAAAGGAGTCACCGTAGCGGTAACGTGGATATTTGCGTTTTTTGTTAACTTGACTCGGTGAAGATGAAAAAGCTAATCCAAAACCGTGGTATTTATACCCAAATTTCCCATATATGCAAATGTATCGGAAAGAGAACGACTGTGAATTCGGTACATAAAGACCTTAAAGCTTTGTATTTATCCTTGAATATAACCCTAACGTTTTACATCTGGTTTTTTCTAGCGGCCGTTACAGTTTACACGTCTACGAGTCGGGAGATGCTGGGCAGTTGTTTGAATTTAAAATAAAAATTTGAATATAATATGTAATATATAAGAATGATTTATATTAATTATCAACCCCCGGTTGTCGGATTTCATTTGAATATTTCAAATAATCGTTTTTTGTTTTATTAATTTTTTCAAATGTTTCGGAACTGCTGTTTTAATTTAATAATGCCTAGATGTAAAATTGCAAAATATTTGACGTCACACTAGGGAAGGGGGTCATAAAATCATAAATGTAGTACACTTTTCAAAATAGTTTTGTCAAGACAATTACATTTTGAACATAAATAACAGTCATGTTTTTTAGCAAAATAACCCAAGCAGTAACGGAACAAATGGATACATTAGGCCATTCAACAAATATTTATTACCACACAAAATTGCACGAATATGCAAAAAAATTAGCAGAAAAATTACCTGATAAATTAGAGGTTTGTTATTTAAGAAAGCATATTATTTTAATTTAATAATTTTAATTTGTCATTATCAGTGTATCTACTTCGTATGCAGTGGTAGCGAAGCCAATGATTTAGCATTACTGATGGCCAGATCATATACGAATAAATTCGATGTAATCTCTTTGAAAAATTGTTACCATGGAATGACCTACCAAATGATGGGAATGACTTCCAATAATTACTACAAATATCCCGTTCCAGGAGCTGCGGGATTCTTCAAAGTAATGTTTTAAATATTTTATACAAATCCAGGTTTATATTTGATTGGATGGATTTTTTTTTAACAAAACAATTGGGTAAATAGCAAATAAAATTAAAGTATTTTTTTTTAAATATGTATAGACAACAAACCCAGATGTCTATAATGGAATATGGGGTGGAAAAAATTGTCGCGATAGTCCAGTGCAGACTGATAGACCCTGTAGTTGTGGAAGCGAGTGCGAAGCAGGTTTAAGATATCTACAGCAGTTTGAATGCGAATTACGTCACGACATTCCGAAAGGTGGATTAGCAGCATTTTGGGCAGAATCTATTCAAGGAGTTGGCGGAACCATTCAGTATCCAAAAAATTATATTAAAGGCATTTATCAGAGGGTTAAAGATCAAGGAGGACTCTATGTTGCCGATGAGGTAAGATTATTTTTTTTTTTTAATTTAAAGCAAGATAAATGTATTTGTATTCACAATTTATTTTTTTTTCTTATAAATTCGTTTAAAAAATAAAATTATTTACAATTTGTATACAGGGTCCTTACTATTTCATGCTATTTACTGTAACATTTTAAAACTCATTTAAAAATGTTATTTTAATTTTGTGACATCTTGTATTAAATAGTATTCGATTAATTAAAAATATCGTGTCTTCCATTCCATTTTCCGATAATATCTTGAACCATCTACCAGTGTCTGGCTGTAAACAGCGGTGAGTTAAAAAATATCATTTAAAAAATACCTCAGTGGAAATTATATTTCTACTTGTTGTTAGTTATAAGTTTATTTTTTGAAAGTCAAGGTAAATTTATTTAATATGGTTTAGTCATTTCTTTGTGTTGCTGGAATTACACATTGTTTGTATTATTTTTTTTTTGTTGGTAAGTTTAAAAAGTAGTTTAAAATTTAATTTATATCTCATACAAGAGCTAGTCAAAATGTTTTTAAAACTAACATTTTATTACAAATTAACGCAACTTTATTGCAAAGTAACGCCATATTACTACATTACTTAAACGGTAACAGGAAGTTAGATAAATTAGACAAAAGTTGGCCAGTTTTATACTCATTAAAATAGTGCTATGAAACCTTTGATATCAACAAGGAGATTCAAAATGTCGGCCAAAAAAGAATAAATTTAAAGAAATGACAATTTTCATTTTTAGGGTCGAATATTTTGAATTTTCCTGTAGATAACGTACTATAGACTTTCCACCATTCTTTACCCATTTTAAAAAACAATTTCTGAAAATATTTTCGTGCAGAGCTGTATTTTTTGTGATAAAAAAGTCGTCGTCACTTGTCAGTTACAACGCGTTGTCATTGGGCTTAAATATACTTAAAAAATAGAAGCACCATCTCATTTTTAGCCTCTTTGTGTCATTTTAGGGTAATATCTTAAAAATTGTCCTTTCAGCGTTACCCTCTGTAAAAAAATTGTGAGAAACTATTTAGGTATATGAGTATATGCGCAACAAAAGATCTGGCCCAACCCTTATGGAAAATAACATGAGAAATCGCTAAGGTCTAAAAAAACTAAAAAGTGTAGTAGTTTGCGCATGCGCATTTATAAGGTGTGAGATAAGAAGGAGTAAGGTTGTCATTTTTTTTTCTCCTTGGCTCGTCTGACTCTGTCTCCGAATAACAATGAAGCCTATTGGCTTATTGTTTTTTACCCCTTGTTAGTTCATAGTCACCTTTGTAACTTGAACAAGTTTGTACAGATCCTTGGGTGAGTGGGTTCTATATGTTGTTGGATCAACCTGGGGTTATCCAAAAAGTGCCTGTCTTTTGCGATCTAGAACTTTGCATTCGCACAGTATGTGTTTGGCCGTTTCTGGTTTCTTGTGACATAGTCGGCACATGAGTTCCCATTTTACATGCCAATTTTGTTCAAGGGTCCCTCGGTTACTATTGGCCGGATTTAAACAAGGATAACGACATTATGTAGAGAACGTGATATAGAATAATATTGAAGAGAAAAATACTGCGTAGTAGAAATACCAAAAGGACCTAAGCAAGTATCTAGGCTATTATTGGTTTGATTTAAACGAAGAAAACGGCATTATGTAGAAAACACGGTATAGATTAACGTTGAATAGAAAAATCATGCGCAATGTCAAAGTTAAAAGGGCCTAAGCATATATATCTGCTACTATTAGACATAATCAAACGGGAAAACGATATTATGTAAAGAACATGGTATAGATTAATATCGAATAAAAAACTCATGGGCAGTAGCAATGCCAAAAGGACCTAAGCATGTATCTCGGATATTATTGGTTAGATTTGAACGTGGAAAACGGGGGGAGTCGGGGAAATTACATGTAGATTAACGTTGAAGAGAAAAATCCTTGTTATAGTATCTTGGACCAATGGTTTTTAAAAGAAAAACGTGTAGTTCACTCTGGACAGTAGAGTGTTGGTGTGGATATTTATATAAAGATTGGACAAATATTTCTAATAATTTAAATGGGGAAAAATTATTTGTAATAGGGCAAAGTCAACATTGGACAATGAAAATAAAATTATATTTTTAAAGTAACAGTATTAAGTATTTACAGTAACCCAATAAGTTTCAAAATTGTCCCTCTTTGAATTTCAGCTTTTTTAGTAAACTTGTAATTAATTTCTTTTGCTTAATTTGTTTTTCTTTGTAATTATTCCTAATTTCCATTCCCCGTTCTGTTTTGTAAAATTGTCTTCGTTTCGCGTTAGCTTCTCCCCTTCGCCCTATTCCTTCGACATCTCTATCACATATACATGTGGATTTATCATGAAGTTATTTTTCCGATCCCAATAAAGACAGTTAATCAGCACCGTAACTGGGCCGAAGGAGGCTTGCCGCATGCCGGACTCGGCCCGATATACGGGTGCAGCTTCGGCATATAAGTAGGGCATGTCGGCAGCTCACTAAATTGTAGCCGTATATAAATATATATTTCGGCCCGTAAGGATGCCTTCCATGTCTGGAAAGCCAAATATGGACCATATACTTCTAAATTACGTCAAATGGTACTGTCTTTCTGGCTCAGAAGAAACCCCGACAACGGCAATCCGAGTACTCGGCTTCCTGTACATGCCGGTGTCAGGCCGAGCGAATGCCGACTATTTGTGGTTTACTGGGATGTGTATTTTTCTAAGTCTTTAATACCTTCAGATGCTAATTCTGAAATGTCTGTGCACACTACGCAACACTGTTTTCCTAGGGAATGTAATTAATCTTGTTTGAATACTCTTCTATCGTAATGTGAATGAGGTGTACCTCTAAGACCATCCCATCCCTTCTAAGGGGCTTTTGTCCATCAGCACAGGTGATGTATCTGAGGACACCAACCGCATGGTCCAAGCAAATTATTTTCTTGAAAATTGTGTACCAGTGCGCTGTAGTTTTTTTCTTGTAGAGTAACATTGTAAATCCATTAGTAAAATGTATTAAATCGTGAAGATGTTCATGTGCTGTACTACCATCGTCTGCTATTAGATGACATCGACAAATAGAATACTATTTAATATTTGGAGCACAAGCAAGTAAATTAAAGTCCTTTTAATTTAATATTAAGTGATGCCATTCTTTAGACACTTCTTCGTAATCTTGTGCCATTTCCTGTGGCGACAAAACTTTAATTTCATTTAGATTCAAGAGAGTCAAATAATCAGTTTTTGACAATGTAGACATTTTTTGTTATTTTTAGAGAAGCTACTCGTAGAAAATGTCTCATTAGACTGGTAGAGTCTTTACTGTCTCAGTACTTTAAACAAATATTTCATTATCCCAGCACCAAGATTTTTGTGCATGCGCAGTAGTACAAACGTACGTGATGTAATCGTCGTTGCAGGGCCGACAAGAGGGGCAGCCGGGACTAATTCCTGGGGCCTGGGCTCAAATGGGGGCCCGGCAGCGGTATAAGGGGGACCCGGCAACCGTGGCGAGGATTTTTCTTTTTAGAAGTTCGGCACAAGACAAGAGGGGTTTTTGCCTGGGGACATTCAAGTAGAGGCGGAGAAGTTTTTGCTTGAAGACTTTTTTTTAAAGTAAAGAGGAGGATAATTTTTTTATAGAATTGTCACGGGGTCCGATCTGGAGAGTTGTCCTGGGGCCCGACCTGGCTCTCGGCGGCCTTGCGTCGTTGTTACATGCGTTCACGTGAACAAATGTTAGGTTAAGAGGGCATACGAGAAGTTGTAAAGCAATTAAGCGAGGAAAGATGAAAAATAAGAAAACGATTAAACAAGGCGAACCTTGACCGTAACCTTGACATTGAAATTGACCTTGGCCTTATCTCCCTTATCTCTTATCAGTGGGGTAAAAACGCTATAGTTTATCTACTGGTGTCGAAGTATTAATTACTCATAAATTTTCGAAATATTAATTAAACATTAATTTTTGTAATTGTATAGGTTCAAACTGGATTTGGTAGAACAGGAGATTACTTTTGGGGTTTCGAGTCACACGGCATAGTTCCAGATATTGTTACAATGGCTAAAGGTATTGGCAATGGCTATCCTTTAGCAGCAGTTGCAACTACAAAGGAAATAGCCACTGGATTGGCCAAAGCAGGTCATTTTAATACTTTTGGAGGGAATCCTGTAGCTTGTACCACAGGTCTATCAGTCTTAGAGGTAAATCGTATTAGTTTTTCATGTTTCGTTTCTAGTTTTTTTATATTAAGACATAAATAATTACAGTCCTTGTCTATGATGGAAATGCTTATTAAATATTGATAATTTACTAAAAATAAAAAGTTATAGCTGGTTGTAAGATCTTTCACCAAAACTTTACCTTTGGTAGATGTTAAGTTTGTGAATAATTTAAAGTTAATTTTATTTTTATATTGCTTATTTAAATCAATTTATATGTATATATTTAGATTATTGAAGAAGAAAAACTTCAAGAAAACTGCAAAACTGTTGGTACACATTTATTGCTGGAATTAGAAAAATTAAAATCAAAGTTTCCTGTAATTGGTGATGTTCGAGGAAAAGGATTGATGATAGGAGTCGAATTGGTCGAAGATCCTAAAACAAGAGTAGCTTTAAGTACAGAAAAAGTTCTGAAATTTTGGGAAAAATGTTTAGACATGGGTTTAATTGTAGGAAAAGGAGGTATATCTGGAAACGTAAGTATTTAATTTATGATTTTTTGATTTGATTTGACTTTAAATCGCTCTCAGTGACATTCAATAGGGCTTTTCATCACAATATTTTTTTTGCGCATGCGTCAGTATCAGCCATCTTTTTCGTACTGTTTTTTTGTAAACAAGCATGTTAAAATATCCACGTGAAAAAATTATAATCGATAAATATTAATTTTAAGTGTATTCGTTTAAAAAATGGGATAAAAAAAGTAAAGTAATAAGTGTCTTAATTAAAAAATCAATTTTTCTAATCAATTAATTATGTTATGTTTACGGAAACGAAAAACTAACCGGTATTGTTATGAGTATGAAAAAGTGACACACGGAATAAATTATTATTTTTTAAAAAGACTTGCCTGCAATATCGGTAAAAAACTATCAAATCATTAGGCAAAATACATATTATACCTGTTCAAAATGAGCATTATGAGTGAAAAAATGTGGTCAAAGTGACAAAAGGTTTTCGATCGAGGGTACGGTCGACTTTAGGTCCAATAAAATTTTAAAGAAATTAATTTTTTATCAGAAAGAGCGTATTTTAAATAGTACATTTAAACAAAAATTTGCGGTAAATGCATTATTTAAGCCAAAAAAAATTTATTTAATTTCTTATAAAAACCAGCATTTTGACGACTGTAAACATGGAAACTTGACCCAGATAGCACAAATACGTCTTATGGACGTTCTAAAAACGTCCTGCTTGGACATTCAGGACATCCTTAAAACGTCCATTTTATGGATGTTGACGTCTTATGGACGTCTTTGGAACGTCCATTGTTAATAATCAGGATGTCTTAAGAACGTCCATTTAAGGACATTCCATGGACATTTTCAAAAGCTCAAATGGGGAATAACAGGATGTAAGGAAATTAGTAAAAATAATGAATAATTTCAAAAAATTTTATTTGGAAGCAAATAACCTATAAATAGTGTAGTGGTACCAGTGTTGCCAGAATATATTTTTGTAATGTACCAGCTTTATCTAAAAAATGTACCAGATTTCATAAAAATGTACTAGATTCTATAAAATTACCAGATTTTTCTAATTATGAAGTATGGTCATTAAAGACCAAAAAAAGGTTTATAGAGAACACGAACACAACAATTTTAAACAATATTTTATCTCTCGACAAATTTCTGACACTATTTTATATCTCGAGCAGTTTTTGAATAAGATTTTAATACCTTTTGATACTCTTTTATCTCTCGAACAGTTTCTAATTTTTCTTTTAACTTTTGAGCTATTTTGAAACAATATTTTATCTCTCGATAAATTTCTAACAGTATTCTATCTCTCGAGCAATTTTTATCAACTTCTTTTATCTCTCGAGCAATGTTTGTACAATATTTTTTTTAACACTATTTAATCACTCGAGCAATTTTTAACAGCCTTTTTTTACCTTTCAAGCTATTTTTGAACCATATATGATCTGTCGTGCAATTTTTGAGCAAAATTTTAACAATTTTTAACACTATTTTATCTCACGAGCAATTTTTGAAAAAGATTTAACAACTTTTGATAATATTTAATCTCTCGAACAGTTTTTAAACAAATTTCTTACAGTATTTTATCTCTCGAGCAATTTGTAACAACTTTTTATCCCTCGAGAAAGTTTTGTACAAAATTTTTTGTACAATTTTTAACACTACTTAATCACTCGAGCAATTTTTAACAGCTTTTTTACCTTTCAAGCTATTTTTGAACAATATTTGATCTCTCGTGCAATTTTTGAGCAAAATTTTAATAATTTCTAACACGATTTTATCTCTCGAGCAATTTTTATTAACATTTTTTATCTTTCTAACAATTTTTAAACAATGTTTTATCTCTCGAGAAATGTTTAACAGTATTTTTTTTCTCGAGTAATTTTTGAATAAGATTTTAATAACTTATGATACTATTTTATCTCTCGAACAATTTTTAAACCTTTTTTTATCTCTTAAGCTATATTTAAACAATATTTTATCTTTCGATAAATTTCTAACATTATTCTATCTCTCGAGCAAATTTTAACAACTTTTTTATCTCTTTAGCAAACTGCACAATATTTTAACTCTCGACAAATTTGTAAAAATATTTTAACTCTCGATAAATTTTTGACAATGTTTTATATCTCGAGCAATTTTTGTACAATATTTTATCTCTCGAGCATTTTTTAATAGTATTTTATCGTTCGAGGAATTTTTAAACAATGTTTTATCTTTCGAGAAATTTCTGATAGTAGGTATCTCTTGAGTCAATTTAACAAATTTTTCAAAAGAATTTTATCCCTCGAGCAATTTTTGAACAAGGGTTTAACATTTTGTAATACTATTTTACCTTGAGCAATTTTTGAACACGATTTTAACAATTTATAATATTATTTAATTTCTGGAAAAATTATTAAATATTTTTATCTCTCATTAAATTTCTAACAGTATTTTTATCCCTAGAGCAATTTTTGAACAATATTTTACCTCTCAAGCATTTCTAATACTATTTTATACTTTAATCAATTTTTAACACCCTTTTTTACCTCTCAAGCCATTTTTGAACAATATTTGATCTCTCGTACAATTTTTAAACAATGTTTTATCTCTCGAGAAATGTCTGCTATTTTATCTCTGAAGAAATTTTTTACAACTATTTTAATTTCTCTTGCAATTTTTGACCAATATATTTTACACTTCAAATGGAAACATACGCTGAAAAAAGTACTAGATATTGTGTCGAGTGTACTAGAGTACCAGATTCTCAGAGAATGTACTAGATCTAGTACAATTGTACTAGACTGGCAACACTGAGTGGTACCCAATGTTACGGTCATGGACAGGTATAAGCACAAAGCACATAGAGGTTCCACGTGAATGACCAAGGTCAAAACCGACAATTGACATTTTTTATGCTATTTGCTCCAAACTCTAGATGGGGCTACTGGTAAAATTCTGATTTCTTACTCCATTTTTAAGCTTTATGGGAGAAAAACTTAACCAAAGACTCCAAAGATGTGACGTGTATTTATTTATGTTTTTGGTTAATCTCATTTTTCCGTCTGATTTTAGTGATTTTTTGTTGGCTTTGGCTTTTGGTTTCTGTTTATAGTTTCGTCTTAGTTATAACCTACTGTGTTTTGCAATAATTTTGGTGCTACCTGTGGATGCTACGTTGAAAACTTCGAGAAAAACTTCATTGATTCACCATGCATCTGCATCATAAAAAGAAACGGGTATAACAACTAATTGATAATCAATTTATCACTGGACTAGATTCCGAAATCATTTTTCACATAAGAGAGTAATACACAAAGCAGTGGAGTAATACCACCATCTGTATTTGGAAGGAAAATACCTATTTATCATTGAATGAATAGTTAAAAGGATTCACCTTTTAATACAATACCTATATTACATTTGTCCTCGGTTTAAAAGACATTTATAAAATATATTATTTTAGTGTTAATAAAATGTAATATCCTAGTCTCTACTTCACATTTAAATTATTGATAGGTATTTTAAAGATTTGAGATTATATACATATTTGCTGCAAGTAAGTATTCGTTAAATATGTATTATTATTTGTATTTATTTTTATCTAATAATATTATTTAAGTTATTAATAAACATATTTTAAGAATGTTCTATTTTATTGTTTATTGATATATCTTATATTTATTTAATAATAATATGCAGAACCAACTCTTCACATCAGACCCCTGCTTATAACAAATTAATTCCTTAAATTTGGTATAATCGACCTAAATTATTTTGTAAAATAAAAGTTTCGAACTTACTAGTTCCATTCTTTATTTTATAAAATAATTTATGTGGAAATCATTTAAAATTTAATTTAAAACTACTACCTACTCCTAAAAATTACAATTTGAATTTACCGCCATCTGTCAATTGTCATTTTAGTTCCAGCTCCAAACACAAGGTGGCGCCAATTTGGTTTAAAAGTTTAACATTGGCGTGGGGTCTCTAGAAGATACGTGCTTTGTGGGTATAAGTGCGCGACAAGGGCGATTACGTCAGCGTCTGAGAGCAGAATGCATGCAGACCGGTTATTCGGCAAATTAGATGTTTTTTGGGCACTTCGCTTGTGGCCGTCTCGTAGACCACTGCACCCGACGACCGGCACAGTTTTATATATTTTACATGTATTTTTCATTATTTTTCTAATAAAAAGTTGTGTTTTCTCATCGTGAAGAATCTTAATTATTCCTGAACCCACCGACTGAGCAAACCAGAGCAATAGTGAAATTATTAAAACTTTTTCGTCAAATTCATCCCGTCTCTCCTCTACTTTGCTCTTTTCAACCATGCCTGGATTGACAGCAGTTATTTTTTTTTCTTGATTTTGCCATATTTGCTTCTTAGTTGAACATGAAAATAATTTAATTGCCTATTCAAAATGAAAGGCAGATCAATATGAAAATCCAATCTGTTAGTTTAAGTTTGCCCTGCTAGACATTATGAATTCACTAACCTTTTAGCTTTGGATAACTTCCACCTTTCTGATATAAAAATGGTACAAATGGTGGAATGATAGAACTTGTACTCTTATAATATGTATATACCATCGAATCATGAACATTGAACACTTTATTTTCTTCTTTGTTTTAATAAAACCTGAGTCATGAGCATATTTCACTTCAGTGCTTAAATCTGAATCATAACATAACATAACTAAATAAATAAAAATAAAAAATAAAATGTCACTTGTCAACAATATTACTTTCTTGCAAATGATTTTCTTCGTTTTTGTTTATTTGGCCTTCATTCATTTGGATATTGGGAAAATGCCATCTTTAATAATTATTTATATTATCTCATTATATATGGTTTTTATATAATATAACCAAATAATAATACAATTCGAATGTGAATCCATGGAAATATAGTAAAGCACGTAGAATTGACGTTCTGCGGATATCTATTTCTTGACGTCCCGAGCATTTATTAAACGACATACTTAAAACGTCCATAATAGGTCCTGGCACATA